CTCGTCTTCGAGGTCCTGACTGCTGGGAAGCTTGACGTCAAATCCCAGCAGGTTCGAGGCCGGTTCCTCCAAAATCTTCTTAATCCATGCAGGCGGACCTTTCTGGTACGAGTATCGAAGTTCGAGAGAAATTAGGTTGGTGTCAGAGTCTAGATCCAGAGCTTGCAATAGAGCTTTGGAGGCCTTATCCCTGTAGAATTGAGACAAATTGAAGCCACTAAGGAAGATGATGAGGCGGCGCTTTGTGTCGTGGTCGACTACGGGCGGTCTTGGCGAAGGATCTACTCTGGGCGAAGCCAAGACGAAGCCAAGTACCAGGAAAGCGAGTTGATTGAAGGATTTTATCTCCTTCTGGAATTCGCAGTCCGCTCGCAAGAGCTCTTTGAAGTCTGATTTGTCCAGCGCTGCGACGCAGGAGCCAAAATTTGAGGTGGTGATGGAGTTGCCAAGGACCGGAGCCCAGAAGAGGTTGCTAAAGGCGGCGGTCCAATATTATGCAAGGATCAGCCAGAAATCTCCTTCGTTACACAGCACCAGTTGAGGAATAGCCCTGATGGATTTCCTTTGGAGGTAGAACATTAGATCCAACACCTCCAGCTTGGGCAGGGTCATTTCCGCTATTGGCTCACCGGTGGTGATCGCGTTTCAGTTGAGGTAGCTTAACGAGCCAGAGGCAGCTGGCGATGAAAGGGTTCCTTCGAGTGTATTCAAAATTATGAACTTCTCCAGAAAAGTGTGGAACTGGACCTTCTGCTGACTGGTGTCCCCTGGGCCTTTGAGTTCGGTGATAAATAACGACAGCTCCTGCCTGGCGGACGTCTCGTTGAATCCTGCAGTGGAATATTGTCGAAGCATCTGCACAAGATAGACAGTTGGCGTTAGATCGGGGTATCCGTAAAATTATCTTATCTCCTAGATTGGACAAAGGCCTTCCTGCAACAGTTGCAAGTTAGGCGGACAAGAAAATGGATCTTCAACTACGATTAGGGTATTCCGAGTGGTAAGCCTCTTGCTTTCCTCTTTCCTTTTTTTTTTTTTTTTTTTTACTGCGTTCCATTGAAGTTGGTCCTTACTTCTCGGATTTTCTTCTTCATGAAGACCAGGTTCTTAGCTTTTAACGAGTGGCTTATACACTTATCGCCTTCCTTCTGTTAAATCAGATACTCCTCCTTTCTCTCATTCTCCCACTTCCCCTGACTGGTGTTAACGGTGGACCGATAATAGTGGAGATCACAAGCAGGAAGCAATGCGAGTTGAAGGAAGGAAATGGTGAAATCTGCAAGTATTTGATTAAGTGCTTTGACTCGGAGTTCTAAGTCCCGCATCGGGTTGGTAGACATTCCCAAGGTACCCAGCTATACCCTAGATCGTAATTTAAGCTCTCAGAGAGAACTTGAAGACGCAGAAAACGCTACGAGTTCTTAGGTTAAAGCGGATCGCATGATTGAGTTTTTAACAAAAACCACTTCGGAATCCTTGTCCCTCAATCCTCATTTTGCAATCAAGCGAAATAAATACTCACTCATGATCGTATCTAGCTCTTCCGATCCATACTAGTGATTACCGAGAAGGTCGGCAGGTCGCACGGTTTGTAAAACGAGGCCGGAGAGGATTAAGCGCGGAATCTAGAAACACGGCGACGGGGAACCTGACTGTCTTGATCGGATGCCTCATTGATTATGACATAAGTCGGTGGGAAATTTTGATGTGATATTATCTGATCGAAGGGAACATCCCGTCGTAAACAAGGTCTCCCCGAATCCGGAAGAGGGTGCTTTAATAACCATTTTTATGATGTGTGCAAACTCCTCTCTTCCTGACTAATTCGAGATTAGTTTATTGCTACAAAACGTAATCGCTAGTAACCCTGGTAGATCCATTGAGGTTTTATATTTGTCTACTTGCCCGAGGATCGATCGACATAACCAAGGATTGATACATTTTTTGGGTATCGGATTAATCTAAAAGACGAGCAAGCATACCGTAGGCACTGATAGATAAGAATAGGGTGAGCGCCATGTCATCAAGGTGATAAGGTTTAGACATTTCCTTACTCCTATCAGCCAGTCAGATAATTTTCACCCTTCTACGTACCACAGAGAAAATACTTGATAAAAATCATTACTTGGTCACTTTAAACATCATACAGTTGTGGAGCAAGCGTAAGAGGTATTGACACTTGATTAAAGATCGGTCCTGCTGAGGTAGCCTGGTTCTAATTGTAAACCGTACAGTGGTTGGATGGTCACCACATACGGCTCTTAAGTTAGAGATGTCCGACTTGGAAAAAGAAGTATGTGTCGGGTCCTTCCAAGCCACGAGCTCCCATCGACGTCGACGTTGGGTACTTCCTAGAGTATAAAGACGACGTAAGGACAAAGAGGGAGTTCGAAATTAGCCCAGCGCAGGTTGTCGGCATCAACGAACGGGACGATTTGTACAACCAGCGGTCCATGGATCCCGTCCTCGTAGAAGGCATCAAAGAAGCAATGCAATTGACGTACAAGAATAGCGAGCAGTCGTACGAGTTCCCTACCCTGAAGGTGGCGCCACAAGGGCTGCAAGAGCCGATTCTCGGGGACAAGGACAACAACGAAAAAATTTCCTAGAATTAAATAATCATTCTATAGTGAAAATACATTCTAAATTTTAAATTTTCATTCCATCTTAAAAAATGTCATTCCAATTTTAAAATTTTTCATCTTACTTAAAAACTTTCCTTCCAACAATGGGGTATCCCTTCTTATTTGAACTGCATGCTAGAGATGGAATGAAAGTGTGGACGAGTTCATGAAATATTTTAATTGGACTGTCATTCTAAGTAAGGATTTTCAGTCCTAAATAGATTAATCCTATCTAAATTAGAAGATATTTATTGTAGTAGAATGAAAGTTTAATTAAATCATTTCATAAACTCGTCCAAACTTCCATTCCATTATGAACAAATAGATGTACTTGGAAGGGAAAACTCATATCTATTTGGGATCTTATCAAATAAAACTAAAAATTTTAGAATTTGACGAACATTGGAATGATAATTTATAAATATGAAGGAATTTTTCTTTATGGAATGTTTTTTCAACTTTCATTTCTCGTGGGAATTTTTCTGTTGGAACGTCCGAAGCTGGTGAACTGGAAGGATGATCTGGCGGGCAATACTACTATTACGTGGTTTGTGGGCAACACAACACGGCTGCAGCCAGCCTAGTCTCTGCTCGGCTAGAAGTACAACTTCGAGCAATGGCCGACACGACGACTTTGAAGGGTACTTCCTTGTTAGTTCACAGGACAATAAGAAGGACCTCAAAGTGCCTCCAAGATAGTTGAAACTGTAGATGAAAGACATTCGGTGGCAGTGGTTTCACGACAAATATCCGAGAGCTGTTATGAGGAACCCTCGTAGGAAACAGACTCAGGTCCAGAAATGGCGTGAGTTCTGTACAATGACGCTCCATAAGACGCCTTACAACAAATCGTGGACTCTCGCAGATCAAAAGGGGGAGGAGGCCGTCAGGAAACAGAACGCTGCAACCCTACGTTCCTATTTCCCGTTGGCGCTGGCCGGAGATAAGGTTTAGAAACGAGACATGGAATATTTTGAGAAATGAGAGATAGGTAGACTTCAAGCCCACGACGAAACAAAGTGGATCGTGAAGAAGAAGAAGGTAAGAAACATTAAGTTAGGGGTCGCCTACATCGAYAACGAGAAGTTGGGCAGAAAGGAGGTCTTTTACAACGTCCTTGTCGATCTGCTTACAAAGAAAGGCAAGAAGGAGAAAAAGGAGGGCGATTGGTTCGTGAAAGTGATTGAGTTGGACTTGAAAGTGATGGAATCCCTGACCGACAATAAGAAATGTCGAGTCTTGAAGAAGGTCCTCGATTGTGAGGTGGTTTGGGTTCAGGCCGACGCTTGTTGTTTGGAAAAGCTAGGAAAGCTCAGCGTGCAGAAAATGGTGCAGTTGGTGAAGTGCGACCTCGTGCTGGTGTGGTTATGAAATTACTACCAATTCAAGCACGAAAGAGGTTGGATTCGGATTGCATCAAAACATACCATTTCCTGGAAAAAAAATCGGCAATCTTAAAAGAGTGTGAATGTTGCAGATTGGATGCCGATTTGTGGGATGGTAGCAAGAAACATATTTCTGACTCCATATTGTTCAAGGATTATCCGCCATACATAGGCTGCGATGACGACCCAATTATTGAGGCCATAAAAAAGCTAGCCGGCCAAAAAACGTTGTTCCTCAACTGAAAAAACAAGGTTATTTCCATGTTGAATGGGAGCAGACTAAAAAGTAGGGAGATCGCACTTGCCGAAGGCATTGTGCTCATACAATGGAAAAACATGGGGGACATGGCATCCATCGCACCGACAATGATCCTTTGGAGGCAGAGGTGAGGAGTAAGGAGTTGCAGACGGTGGTGGCTAGCACAAAGAGTCATACGTTCGTCCTCGATCTCTGCGAGCTGGTTGACCTAAAGTTTTGGAAACAACAGGTGTTCGAGACTTTGAATCCGTTACTTCAGTCCTTGTGCCCATCACAATGCACGGTTGTTGTTTTCGTGCCACGAAAGTAAAACCTCTCGTTTCTGGCTAACCTGCACCATTTATCTGTCGTGAAATTGTTGGAGGGGAAGTGTCACTGGGTGTCACTTACGAAAACTCAACAGAAGAAAACATTTCGCATTAGAAACAATTTCTACGTGGAGGACAACCGCATGTACATACTCTTCAAGGGTGACAATTCGCGGGAAAACACAACGGTCGTTCACGGCGGGAGGATGCTGTCGGGTGCCGCAGCGGCGGTGCGGTTGCCTCAAAAAGTGACCCCGACGGATGTGTCGAAGATTTCATTCACGCCTTGTGACTGGTTGATGACCGCTCCTCAACGACAAGGATATGGAGCGCAATCCGACCCAATTGGTTGGTCTTCTTGAATTCGTCATAAAAAAAGGTGTCGTCTTCCTTGGGAAGCCGTACATGCAAGTCGTGTGGGCGCTTCCGAAGGCAGGCCACCACGTTGTCGCGTTGGAAGGGAACTCCTAGCCGTCGCAATTCATGTTACAATTTGTCAAAAGTGAGGTAAACTCAGGTGCCAACCACTGTGAGTTTGTGGTCAAGAAGGCGAAACGGAATAACGCGTGGGGCAATAACACGGACAATGTCATGTGGTTCACGTTGAGTGAGAGGAAGAGAAAGAAGATATACGAGTTCTTGTTCGTCGAAACGTGGCCAGCGAAGGATAGTGATGTTGAGTACGTGCGTCGCAAGTACCACATGTTGGTGTTGCTGGACAACTACGAAGGCGCCTCCCGCAAGAACACAAAGACCTTCCTCAACGGGTTGGAGTCCTTGTACTTCATCCAGTCCGAGGAGGAATTGAAGTTCGACAATTACAATTCCTTGATCTCAACGGATGACGAGGCAACCACCGATGTCGAGCCCGACACCAACGTGAAGGAGGATGAGAGCATCAACGAGAGCGTCAACATGGGGCATGAGCCCTGTCTGGCGGGGCACGCCCCAGGGTCCTCGTCAGCCGGTCCATCAACAAGCTTGACATCGCTCGTATTACAGCTGACCAAGCCGACCCCGGGCACGACCCCAATGAAGTTATTGGAAAGACAGAGAGCTTTGTTCGTCCCCCACCCGCATTGCGTCCCGATTGTGACATTCCACTGGCACCCGGTCATCCTTCTTGGAAGAAAGACAACATTCACTTTGTGGGTGGGGCACACACTTATTCGAATGAGGTGGACTGGGGCCATGACATGATTTGACACCAGGGAGTCCTCCGACCGGCTATCCGAAAGGGCGAGTGGATCATGGCCGCCGTTGTTGACCGTGACGTTGGATCGGTGTCAATCCCACGCGAGTCCAAGTCCAACTTTCTGCTCGTCGCGAGGGTTCCAGTGATCCAAAAAGTGAAAGCTGAAAATCAAACTGTTTCACCCTCCAACGCGTCCATCATTTCTATTGCTGACAGTCTGTTCAACGAACTTCACGATAACTTGAAGCGCTGGTTGGAACTGACGGAGGACTCTTACGACCTCGACAGATGCCCTTCAAAGGGAATGGTGGACTGGAAAGTGCCCCGTCTGAGTGGGACACTGGGAAGTTCGGGGGGAGGGGGGCACCTAGCACTTGAGGAGACGGAGACGACGGTGAGGGGGGGTGGCAAAGGCGTCCCACCTAGTGGAGAGGGTAGGCCACAAGACGAGACCACGATAACGGAAGGTAGCGGTGGGGTGGAGCGGGAGGCCGTCGATCGGCATGACTACGGACCTCGGTCCAGAGCATTCGATGAAGTCCGCCGACCCCCGACTTCGTCCGCGAGCTCAACGAGGGAGAGGATAGCTGCCTTGGTTGCTCTTGGTAACCATTCAGGCGGAAAGTCTAAGTTCGTCGGGATCCGAACTACATCGCTTGAGGTGTTGCGACAAGAGTCGTCCGTGCAAAGCGGGTCGGGGGTGGGAGTGTCGAGCCAGGATGCCGCGTCGAAGTATGCCAGAATCCGCACTTCGCTTAAGGACAGCCTGCCGACTGACAGTGGTGTTGTGTGGGAACAAAATGCATCGGTTGAGGGGGAGGGGTGGCCTCCGGAGTTGAAGCAAGAGGGTGTAAGTGGAGTGCCCGCCGACCAGGAGACGACGAACTCTGGTGGAATCTGAACTTCTTCAAGAAGGAGGCCTCAGAGAGAGGTTATCGTGCCAGTAGGAGGGGATACGTTCGTGGATACAGAAAAATGGTCAGCGGAAATCGACAAGCGTTGAACTTCAGGAGAAGGGGCTGAATTGCATGGAAGGGGCGGAGGGGAGGAAGGGGAGGAAAGGGGCAAATGGGAAGAAGGGAGGAAGGGGAGAAAATGGGAGAAAAAAAGTTGATTCAATTGTTTGAAGGAGAAGAGGGTGGCAACGGGGATATGGATATTGAAGATGAGGAAGGGGATGACAGTGAGGACGATACTGGCTCTGAAGAGTCGTCTGATGAATTTGGGCAACTATACTAAAAGCATTGTGGCCACGATGTCGACTACGATGCAACGACTATAGAGATGGACACGTAGGTGGTCTATGACCTTTCCGCAGAACGTGAAGACTATGAGGATCAACCACTGACGTCTGCAGATGATCTCCAACACGGGTGCGATAAGGTTTTTGCCATTGTGAGTCCGGTTAAACCGAGTCGCCGTATAATCATCGACGAAGTTATCGATGACATTCTTGACGACCAGCACATTTGTGCTCTGTGTAGACCCCCGTACGACTACGGGCCGTACGTACGGGCTCATGTGGTAGTACGGGCCGTACGTGCGAAAAAAAACAAAAAACAAAAATTCAAAAAAATATGAAAAAAACAATGTTATGTAGAAAAATAAACTGAAACACTTTCGCCTCAGGGTCATATTGAAATTTGTTACCAAATTTGAAATAAAAAAACAAAACGATTCTTTTTTTCTTTTTTCTTTCCGTACGGGGCTGTACATACGGCCGTACGGCCGTTCATACGGTCGTACGTACAACCGTATGATAAACCTCTCGTACATCGTACGGAGTGTTACACAGTTTGTGCTCATCTGTCTACAACACCTAACGTCGATGACCCTCGCAACGTAACACCTTTCGTAGCCGCTGCCATTGCTTTTTCGTCGCTAAGCTTTCCGATACGTGCAGCCACCTTCTCCAGCAAAGGGAAGGGCGAAGTCGGGGACCGACAACATGTCATAACTCCGAAACAGTTCAGGGTCGACACTTCGGTTATCGTGGTGTTGGCCTTACCTGCGCCAAATTCACCAATGAAGGGGGGGAGGGACAAACTGATTGGTAAGCGATGAAGAACGCCACTAAGTTTGCATGCCCACGCTTCATAAAGCGCGAGTGCGGCTTCCTTCGTAGTCCGGATTTCGGCGGACTTCAATCCTCGCCATACACACAAGGAGTGACCGGATGTCGGTATACTAGAGCCACCAGTCCTTCCAACTACATGTGATCGGCCTGCTTGTGAGCCGGCTAGGTTACCGGTTGAGGCTAGGGCAAAAATCAATACAAACATAACACTTCATCAACGGAAAAAGGATCTGTACTTCTATAAACTATGTTTTTATTGTAGCATCCCTCACAAATGCCTGCCCATAGAAATTTCGCAAGCGCAACTAAATCGCTCTCTAATCGAACTTGGGAAGGTTAGTGTCGTGAGGAGGATTGGCTAATGAGTAGGAAAATATGAAGTGGTGAGTTCGGAGTTAAGTGATCCGACGAGCTCGTGGCGAGTCTGCGGGGTTGACGTGCGGCCAGCCTGAGGACGGACTGTGGGGCACGGACGGACCCGGTGTGTGTACTCAAACTAAGCCGGGGGACAACTTTGAATCGCTGGTAGTTGGGAGGCGATGGACAACCTGCATTGGAACAATGACGATGGTGAAGTAGTGAGAGAGCGTGGAGTGCTGAGGTGTGAGGATATCTCTCCTGACCCTCTACAAAAAAAAAAAATTGTGATTGGAGATCGATACCTGATTGTGTACATCCTATTCGAAGTACCTCTCATATCTCTTTCCTTTATGAACGATGTTGGGTATGATGATTGTGCCTTGATCGTTTTAATTTTTTATGCACCCTTCTTGGTTATGACTAGAAGGCATAGTCCGCATGGATGCATGTCTAGCAGGAGTTTGCTAGAGACTACAGTTGATGGGAAATGATGAAGTTGGTCGTTTTGGGTTGTCTGGTGAATGGATCTTATGCAAGCCCACGTATGTGTTACAACCCGCCAACAATACGTCCCGCCGTGTATATACGACCTCGCATAATTCACCCCTGTCTGGCCTGTAAGTACCATTGTACATGGATAGGAACGACAGTATCAGTGCAAACCTTTAGCGTGGAATTCGATCTCTCCTTGATCGCAACCACCCCTACCGCCCGATGGGCTTGTGCGGAAGCAAAATGAGAACAATATTGTCGAGGGACCTATCTAGGGTGCCAGCTCGGCTATCCCGAGCTGCAAATTGGAAAACCCCTTCTTCATTTGAGCATCTTTACATCTTCGTCCTTAGAACCCTGACACAAGAGATCCCAACTCCAGTTTGGGACTCCACCCCATTTTCCTAAAATACTTGGCACATCCTCTTTCCACAACTTCCAAGCCCACTCCCACTCCAATCAGGAAGTTGCGCTGACCCACTAGGCGTGAGGTTGGTTTGGGAGCCGACACGTGTTAGTCTAAGAGGACTAAGACAACTTTTCGGCTCGGTATCTGATCGATCTTGCGAGCCCAAGTAGAGGAGGATCTAAAAATAAAATTAAGCCGATATGAGACCCCATGGTCACCTAACATAGGTCCGCAAGGCGACAGACCACCAGCATGAACGCCGGCGGGGATTCGCCCAGCGAAGGGAGGTGACAGCTTCCGTAAGGTGGAGGTAAGTCGTGCCCCGCGTAGGCCCTATCCTGTTGTAGGGGCTCGCGAGAGGTATGGCTGGCGCACTCGGCCGGAGCGGCTTGCGGAAGCTCCACATATATATTTTGCGACGAAGGGTGTAAACCAACTCCTGCATGACGCGGCCGGGAGGGTACCGCGCTGCTTCATGCGGTGTCGGACCGATGCACTCGACAACGTGTTTGTGTGTGTGTGTGTGTGTGTGTGTGTGTGTGTGTGTGTGTGTGTGTGTGTGT